CCCATAAAATGTTTTAATATTCACTTAGTTAAATATGTCTACCTTCTTCCATATTTCTATCTTACTTAAAAATAAATTTCTCATTAAAATATTTTAAATATAGTTTTCTAAAAATATTTTAGAATTGTTTGTGCTAACTTTTAAGAATTAGTCTGTTTTGCAGAAAGAGTATCTGAACCATGAGGTAACAAAGAATAAACCACAGAAGAAAAATAAGAAAGCAGTCTTTCTCATCCAATATTAAGTCATAAGATAACCCATTGGTAAAATATGTATAGCACAGCCACAGGAGCACAACTTTTCTGCTATCTCTTGAAAATATATCAAAGAATATTTTGTTCTCCTTGGTATATTCCCTTTTCTAAATTGTTGAATTATTTTCCAATCTTGGTTTATTGTTTGTTTTGTGGTGTTCACTCTGTATGTTGCTTCAAGCAATATATATATCCTTATTTTGTCTTTTGGATGAGTGTATTTTTGATCATTCATTATTTTTGCTGAGTTATCAAGAAGATATAATGGGACCTGAAATTCCACGAGATAGATGGAACCCTGTTCTCGTCTAGTATTTCTTAGGGACCCCTTGTGTTTATTAGAATATTTTCCACTTAGCTCCATGTAAAAACTCTCACTGTGTTTACTGAGAATATTTATTGTTTCTTTAAATGCAACAAGATACTCTAGACATGAAAATGAAGCCACAGAGTTGCACATGACAAGAGATCAACTAACTGAAATTTCTGGGTGGTATTTTTATATTTTGGGGGGACAGTTAATCTGATAGTAAAAATTTTCCTTGTATCAATTCTTTCTATGAATTTTATTGAAGAAAAGATAAGCATATTAACACATTTTGCTCCATTTGTATATGTGTATGCTTTTAGTAATGAGTCCATTTTCAGAGAAAGAATTCTTAGGTACAATATTAGACTGCCAACTTATGATTCTTAAACTTATGAATTTATTCAAAATTATTAGAATTTTTTAGAAATGATTGCAAAGTAATTTTTCTTTGACTTTTTTTCTTTTTCTCGAACTAGTAATACAGTGTGTGCTACCATACTCTCACAGTCCTGGGTACATTTGGGGAAGTCACAACTCCCAGGGGGCCACACCATCACAAGGGGAAACAACCTGATGGTCTATGGTGCACTCTGTTGCTAAGTGAGGCTTTTCAGTGGGTTATATGGGTAAATGCACTTTTAACTTATGATAACCTCAATTCATGGACTTATCAGGACATAACCATATCATAAATCAAAGGACTTCTGAACTCTAAGGATTCATAATATAGAAGCCAGAACTCTAAAAAAAACAGATATAAAAAGTAATTCCATTTTAACTGGAATGAAAACTTTGCAGCCAAGTTAATAAAGACCAAAAGAAAAACCTTGGGCAGAGGGATACTTTTAGTCTTGAGGTTTCAGTGGCAATAAGGCCACTTATGCATCAACATTTTTAAAATATTTCAATGTATTTTAATTTATACTCCATTCCTAGTTATGTGGTGCAGTATGATAATTTTATACATGTATAAGGGGAGGGGCAAGTCATGGTAATTAGTGTTTCTATCTGCTCAAATATTTCTTGTTTCTATTAGTTTGGCAGCTTCAGAATTCTTTTCAAGTTATTTTGAAATATATTATAGATTGTTGTATACTATAGTTACCCTACTGTTGTGTAGAACACCTGAAACAATTTCATCTATCTGACTCTGTTTAAGTACCTGTTATTTAACCTTTCACTGTGTCTTCTCTACCCTTCTCTTCTTTCCTTCCTTCTCTCTAGTGAAAACTATTACATTCTCTAATTCTATGACATTGATTTTTCTAGCTACCACGTATGAGAACACGTAGTATGTATTATTCCCTATGTGGTTTATTTCATTTAGTACAATGTCCTTCAGTTCCATCTATGTTTCTGCAAATGACACAATTTCATTCTTCTTTATGTCTGAATACTATTACATTGTATTCATATGTCACATTTTCATTATCTCTTCATCCCAGGTGGGCACCTAGGTGAGTTTCATATCTTTAATACTTTGAGTGATGATGTCATACACGTAGATGATGTCCCATTGCTATATGTATTTCATTTTCTATAGAAAAGCACAGAGAATTTTTAATACTTTCTAACATTAACTTTCTTCTCACTCCTTCTCTTTTAAAATGAAAGTTATTCTTAAACTTCCCTAAGTTTATTCCTACAAGATCCTATGATTATCCTCACATTTTACAGCTCAAAAATGTAGTCTCTATTATTGTGTGAACAAACAAGTATAATTAGTGGGGATGAAACTTTTGAACTGTGGTATTCGCATCTATACATAATATCTCTCTGAAAAATGTTTGATTGCATCTTATAGTATGTGATATGGAAGAAAAATATGATGCAGATGTAATTCCAATGAGAAGTTAAAAAAATGTCTTTATTTTAATTGACATTAATTAGAAATGTTTTGGGATGAAAATGTGCATTTAGTACATTTGCAAGATGAGTGAAGATCCAGTGGGTTGATTAGCACATCCATCTCCTTAAAAATTTATTATTTGTTGGGCCAGGGATTTACCTCAGTGGTTCTGGAGCTTCCTTGCAAGCTCAAATTCCCAAGTTTCAATCCCCAATACAAAAAGCATATATATTTCATTCAATTAGCATTCAAAAATCCTCTCCTCTTCCAAAATAAAATTATTTTTAAATGCAATCACATCACACAAGTGTACTAGAGGACCAGAACTTAATCCTGCTTTCTGACTGCATTTGCGTGTGCATTAGTAGAGTCCCACCCTCCTCCTCTTTTCTGTGCCCTTCCCAGGTGATGGTCATGACCATTGTACTCTCAGCGTCTAGGAAATCAAAATTTCCAATTTCTGCTTCTGAGTCATGCCTTGCAGTCTTGCTTATTCTTGCTGGTGCACTGGCTCTTTGTGAGCACAGAACATCTGAAAGATGTCCATTCCCGGGGTCTCCACACTGACTATTCCTCCTGCCAGACACACTTATCCAGAGGACCTTGTAGCATTCACCCCATCTTCTTTGAGATCTTTGTTCAAATGCTACCCTACCCTGTTTTCCTGGTCTTGCCTGAAGCTGTGTATTTAAAGCAAAAACAACCTCAGCCACTCTATATTTGCTTTCCTTTTCCCCTTGCATTTGCCATTATCCTATATCTTTTATAATTATAATGTATATTGTAATAAAGTTTGTATTGTTTCTCCATCGTTAAATTATGCGTAAATTTGTCTTTCTGCACTGATAACATCACCTAGGCAGTTCTTGTAACAAGCCTTACTTTCAATCTATAATCTTCAAATATACCCCAAAATTTATCATTATAGTTATAGAACTCTTGATCTGTTGTGGACAGCCAGAGCATTGGAAATGAATCTCTAATGAAAAATGATAGAATGATCCCTTGAAAGCAATTAGCATGTACACATAAGAAATATACAAATAATGTATTGACTGCAGAATATAAATGAGAGCAGTTCTGTAGAGTTACTAATGCAAACATGTGTCCTGTCTCCCTAACACCTCTTTCTCTGTCTGCCTCTGTCTCTGTCTTTGTCTCTGTCTCTTACTCTCTCTTTCTCTCTTTTTGTCTCTCAAGATGACATCAACCATATGGAACCAAGGAATGACACCCAAATTTTAGAATTTTATCTTCTAGGATTGTCAGAAGATCCAGAACAGCAATCTTCTGTATTTATAATTTTCCTCTCCATGTATGTGATTACTGTAGTAGGGAATCTGCTCCTCATTCTGGCCACAGTCTCAGACACCCACCTGCACACCCCCATGTACTTCTTCCTCTCCAATCTGTACTTCGTGGACATCAATTTCACCTCCACTGTGATACCAAAGATGCTGCTGAACATCCAGACACAGAGCAAAGTCATAACATATAAAAGCTGCATCACCCAAACATATTTATTTTCACTGTTTATAATACTGGACATATTACTGTTGACTGTGATGTCCTATGACCACTTTGTAGCCATCTGCCACCCTCTGCATTACATGGTCATCATGAACCCATGGCTCTGTGTGTTACTGGTCCTAGCATGCTGGATTGTGGGTGCCCTAAATGCCATGTTACATAGCTTAATGATGCTGCAGCTGGCCTTCTGCACTGACCTGGAAATCCCACATTTCTTCTGTGAATTTAATCAGGTGATCCACTGCGCTTGCTCTGACACATTTTCCAATGAAGTGGTAATGTATTTTACAACTGTGCTGCTTGGTGTATTTCCCCTTGCTGGTGTCCTTTACTCTTACTTTAAAATAGTTTCTTCCATATATGCAATCTCATCAAGTCAGGGGAGATATAAAGCATTTTCCACCTGTGCATCTCACCTCTCAGTTGTCTCCTTATTTTATGGCACTGGGTTAAGTGTGTACCTCAGTTCTGCTGTCACTCAAAATGCACATTCATCTGCAACAGCCTCAGTGATGTACACTGTGGTAACACCCATGCTAAATCCTTTCATCTATAGTCTAAGGAATAAAGTCATCAAGAGTGCTCTTAAAGTAATTTTTAAGAGAGCTACTGGAATGGTTGTTTTACCTGTGACTGAAAAAAATACCAATGATTACCAGGCTCAAAGCCTGAGAGCCAAGAACTGTGATAACTCAATCCAATTATAAAACTAAAGCTTTTTCCTTCTATTTATTTTTTAGAAATTTCTGTTTCTTTCATTTTTAACTCCTATATACCATTTAATTAACTTGTTATATTAAAATTTTGGCTCTCTCTGCTATACAACAGATCTTCTATTTGAACTTTCCCTACTCCCTCAAAGTTTTCAAACTTACTATCTTAAATATTTGAAATTTCCTCCTATGTCATGGATCAACCCATATTTCTCAAGAATAATCTCTTCTCAAATGACATATTTTACCAAATAATGTTTTTTTTATTTCCTGGTTGGCTTTACATAGGCATGAGTTGTACTACTCTTAAGGAGAAAAGAGGAGTGGCAACTAAGGGTATCTATATAATTTTATAGAGGAAATATTGAATTCTAACTGCTGTTTCATAAATGTATTTTAAAATCTTGTATATCTTTGAGTTTCATTCTTCACAGTAATATTATGTCTCTTTATTAGCTTATTGTCCACAGTGCCTGCAATCATCACTAGTAAATGTGATTTTCAAAACATGCAAATGGAAAAGGGACTAAGCGTTGGAGGGAACAGGGAGGGATAGTTAGGGAAGGGAACAAAAAATTATGATGTATTATGCATATGAACAATCTCCCCATGATAAATGTTATGATTATGTACTGCAAAAATGTGCTAATAAAAATACATTTATAAAAATTGTTCCAACTAAACTCTATGGGAAAGATAAATTTGAAGATACAAATTACATTAACACAGTCTTTGTTTACAAGATAAGCCTAAGTATAGTTAATCAAATTTGAAAGCATGCATTGCATTATTATGGAAAAGAATTCTATGACTGCATAAAATATTAGACTTATAAAATGAATTTTAATTCATCCACAAAGTAGAAAAAATTTGAATCATTTGTAGAGAAATAAATGAATCTTGAAACCATAATGTTAAGTGGAATAAATCACGTGCATAAAATAAAATGTCACCTCATATCTCTTATATGACTAAACCAAAATACAAATAAATTAAAGAATAAAATATTTCAAGTAGCAAATTAAAGACAGATGATAAATAGATAATGGGAAGGAGGATGGATGAAGTCAGGATGGGGCAAGGGAAATTTAAAAAAGGACCTAGATCTTGATATTGCAACTTAAAAAATGTATAATTGGGCTCCCCCACCACCATTCCAGTCTCCTAGGGCAGAGAAGCTGAGCCAGTCCCAGTACCTGGAAGGAAACTCCCCTGCCACCATCCCAGGCTCCTAGGGCAGAGAAGCTGAGCTGGTCCCAGCACCCAGAAGGAAGCACCCCTACCGCCATCCCATGTACCTAGGGCAGAGAAGGTGAGCCACGTGGGCACCAGAAGCACACACCCTCCGGTGGAAATGAGAAGAACTATAAACAAGGCTCAAAAACAGACTTCCAGATCACCTACAGCAATGCTAAAGGGAAACGAGATGAAACAATCTGATACTCAACCACCTGGACTCTCTGAACTGGCAACAAAAGAGGATCTGAAAAAAATGAAATCAGAAATAATTACTCAGAGAACAGCAAAGATTTTTCAAGACATGATTAATAAATGTAGAGAGGACACATAAAAAAATAGAGGATCTGAGGAACATGATGGAATTCCAACATAGGAAACAAATGGAATCCATAAAACAGATACAAACAGATTTTCAGGGGATTAAAAACTCCATCAAAAGTCTACGCAGCAGAATGAACCAATGTGAGGATAGAATTTCAGATATAGCAGAGAAGATTGCAACCAGGAAAAGAAAAATTGCAGCAAAATTGTAAACAACCACGAGAGAGCTATCCAGCAGCTGTTAGATGATGCAAAGAAGAATAACATAAGTGATTGGAGTCAATGAAGAAGCAGTAGAGAGTGCAGATAACATAAAAAAATTGTTCACAGAAGTGATGGCAGAAAACTTCCCAAGGAGGGGAGAAGAGCTTGACATACAGATAAATGAGGCATATAGGACTCCAGCTAGCCTTGATCAAGAAAAATCTACACATAGGCATATAATAGTTAGGATTCCAGAAATCCAACAGAAGAACAAAATTCTACAAGCAGAGCAAAGAAACAAATCACATACAAAGGAAAGTCCATCAGAATCACAGCAGACTTCTCAATGCAAACCCTCAAGGAAAGAAGAGCTTGGAGTGATGTATTTCAAGCCCTCAAGGAAAACAGCCTCCAAGCCAGATTCATGTACCCTGAAAAACTGTCTTTCAAAATTGATGGAGAAATAAGATACTTTCATGATAAAGAGCACCTCAGGAACTTCATGAATACCAAATCGGCACTCCAAAAAATTTTAGACAATACCCTAGGAAAAGACAATGACGATCACAACCCCTGGAAACCCAGCAGAATGAATCCATTGGGTGCAATAAAAATATATAATCAATATTGTGTAATAGGAAGTAAAGGTCTAAAGGAGCAGGGGTAGTGTGAGAGGTAGGGGAAAGGAAAGAAGGGAAAAAGAAAAATATGAGAAATGGAAACAAAGTCTTTTCAAATAGGGAAGGGCAGAGGGGGTGAAGGGAGGGCAGGGGAAGGGGAAAAAAATAAGAACCAAGATACTTATGTAATGGTACAAGATTCCAATGATGTATGTAACTATTTTATACCTAAAATGTACCAATAAACTTAATGGGGAAAAATTTATAAAAGGATCAAGATGATATATGTACTTAGATATAGATATGTACGAATTTCCATGTTGAAAATAATATGCATCACAAACATATACTAATAAAAATAAAATTTTCTTAACTAAAAACATGTGAAATAAAGGAGAGGTGGTAGGAAATAAACCCTGACTTTTTGGGATAATGTGTTGTGGAGTCAGGCTGGGGATAAAAAGGTAGTACAGGGAAAGAGAACTCAAAATGAATATAAATTTAATGTATGCCAAACATATACCAATAAAAAATTAAAATGATTTATTTTTATGCTGTAATTTGATTCATTAATATCTTCAAAATTGGTATTCATGGGTAAGAAGGTTTGTTAATGTGAGCAAAGGATTGTTTAGTAGCATTTATGCCTTATTATTTATGAGTTTCTGCTAGAAATTTTTCAGTGCTACTTACAAATATGACATGATCCATTTCACTAATTTAAATATTCCAGTATTTTAAATTTAGTCTCAACCATTAATGGAGCCATGAGTGAATATCGATATCATCTATTATGGAGCATATTCAGGCTTCCTGTTCTCTTCAGGGTTCGTGCTCTCTAGATGACTCACAAAAGTAATTGAATTCCTGAACAAACACTTACATGTTTCCACACATACCTCCAAACTGTCCTAGCTGACTGGAAGAAAATCTCAAAGTAGCCACTTTTTAATATAGTTATCTGAAGTAAACTTGAAAATCAGAACCTGGACTGGGGTGTAGCTCAGTGGTAGAGTACTTGTGAAGCATGGAGAAGGCCCAGGGTTCTAACCAAGCCCTCAAAGCAGGCCAATTATGATTGCTGTCAAAATGCTTCAAAAGACAGTAATAAGAAGTAGAAAGCCTATTGTGATTTGACTTTCTTTTTGTTTCCTATCATCACCTAAAGATACTAGTTTATATAGAGATTTAGACCATAACAAGATCTATGTTTACATCCATCTTCTTGCAAATGACAGAATTTTAATTTTCTTGTACCTGAATATTCCACTATGTATATATACTGTGTTTTGCCTATCAATTTGTACATCTATATTGATTCAGTACATTGGCTACTGTAAATCAATACCACATGTTCTTTAACAACTATTTGGTGATGAACACCTAGACTGATCCATATCTTGGCAATTAGAATAGTGCTGCTCTAATCATGGGCAAGCAGCATAACTTTTATGATGAAATAGGAGAACAACTGATAGAAAAGACACACAGGTGGAAAACATGTTCTACTGTACTTTCCCTGTGTTATGCTTCAGATCTAAAATGTTCCCCCAAAACCTCATGTGCTGATTGAATCTTGGTGGGGTGTAATGCTCATTAGTGGATCTATCTATTGCTGAGTTCTGTAGTTGAATTTGCTCTTATGAGGGGGCCCTGTTTGAAACAGTTATGGAGGAATGATGTGAAAGGATATATTTTCCCCTTGCCACCTCATTTCTCTCTCTGCTTCCTCAATCCCATACGATAAGCAGCTATTCTCTTTCAGTACCTTTCTTTTTTCTTTTTTCTTTTTTTTTGTACTGGGGATCGAACTCGGGTCTTTGCACTTGCGCAGCAGGCAGCAAAACCACTGAGCTAAATCCCCGGCCCCCAGTACCTTTCATCATTACATTTCTGTCTTTCAATCAGCCAACTATGGGTGAATCCACTGAAAACTGCAAGCCAAATAAACCTGTCTTCTTTTAGGTTGTGAATGAATGCTGTATTATTTGCGGAACTAGACAAAACAATCCTATAATTCTTATAGAGCAATGAAAGATCCTAAATAAGAACAATAAATTCTGAGTAAAAGCAAACAGCTGGAAGAGTAACAACACTAGACTTCATAGCCTACTGTAATGTGAAAGTAAACAAAACAGCAATATCTTGTCATAAAAACAGACATACCAATCAATGAAAAAGAATAGAGTGAAATGAATCAATGTATTTATAGCAAGCTGAATTTCAACGAGGGTGCCCAGAACATATATGGAAGAATCTTTTCTTTAATGAATGATTCTGAAAAAAATCTGTGTGTGTGTATGTGTGTGTGTGTGTGTGTATATATATATATATATGTATATATATACACACACATATATGTATATATGTATATATACATATATATGTATGTATGTATACATATATACATATATATGTACATGTGTATGTATATATATGTGTGTGTGTGTATATATATATATATACACTATAACCTTATCTCTAGAACTAAATATTCACCAAAAAATGGAAACAGTATATAAATGTTAAATGGTGGTCATGAAACTCGAAAACTACTGGATAAGAACACTGGAAAGTACTTCAGGAGATATGTAAAGGCAATAATGTTTT